GTGCGACTGATCTGGCGGGCAATTGCACCTGGGTTCTTATTCCCCATTTAGGCTTGCCTAAGGGGTTCTTGCTTAGTTACCTGATATTCTCATTTTGCCCGTTCCCCCGAAGTTCATCGGGTTCCCCAGGTCCTTCCGGCTCCCTGCCCCCAATGCCTCGCAATCTCACGTTGTCCATTCCCCGAAGGTTCTTGAGGTTCCCCGGGTTCCTCAGGTTCCCCGCCCCCGGTGCCTCCTATTATTGCGTTGCTCGTTCTTCGGGGGTTCTTCGGGTTCCCCCGGCTTCCTCGGTCGTGTAATTCGATTTGGCTCGTCGAGGTTCCCGCTCTTGATTACCGGCTTCTTGGCACTGCAAAGCAATGGCACAATGCCGAGCAACGCCAATCGATGCAAAGCAATGCCAACCAATGCAAAGCAATGCCACGAAATTTCAAGCAGTGTCAAGCAATGCCAAGCAATGTGAAGCAATGCCAAGCAATGCCAAGCAACGCCAAGCAACGCCAAGCAATGCCAACCCATGCCAAGCAATGTTACGCAATGTCAAGCAGTGCCATGCAATGCCAAGCAATACCAAGCAATGCCAATCAATGCAAATCAATGCCAACCCATGCCACGCCACGCCAATCAATGCACAACAATGCCAACCCATGCAAAGGAGTGCCACGAAATGTCAAGCAGTGCAATGCAATGCCAAGCAATGCCAAGCAACGCCAAGCAATGGCAAGCAATGCCAAGCAATGTCACCTCATGCCAAGCAACGCATAGCAACACCAAGCGATGCACCAAGCGATGCGCTCATGCAAGAGGCTTTCCCCTAATTGGGTCGCGCCCAGTTCATTTGAATGATGAGATGTTGATTCGTCATGTGATGGATTCCTGCGAATAATACTTCACTGAGTTCTTGCAATGTCGTTGTGTGGTGGATCATATGATGGTTCCCCCATGAGGCCTGCCTAAGGGGTCCTTACTTGGTTAAAGGTTGGTACCTGGTATTCTTACTATGTTCGTCCCCAGGAGGATCCTCGGGTTCTCCAGGTTCCTCGGGCTCCCTGGACCCAGTGCCTCGTATTCTTACGTTGCCAGTTCCCCGGAGGTTCTTCGGGTTCCCGGAGATCCTCGGGTTCCCCGCCCCCGGTGCTTCGTATTCTTACCTTGCCCGTTTCTCGGGGGTTCTTTGGGTTCCCCGGGTTCCTTGGTCTTGTAATGTGATTCGGCACATCGGGTTCCACGCTCTTCTTTCTCGGGTTCCCCAACATGGCAAAGCAATGCCAACCAATGCCAATCAATGCCAAACAATGCCAATCAATGCCAAGCAATGCCAAGCAATGCTAAGCAATGCCAAGCAATGCCAATCCATGCCAAGTAATGTCAGCCCATGGAGAGCAATGCCAAGCAACGCAAAGCAATGCCAAGCAATGCCAACCAATGCCAAGCAATGCCAAGCAATGCCAAGCAATGCCAAGCAATTCCAAGCAATGCCAAGCAATGCCAAGCAGTGCCAAGAAGTGCCAAACAGTGCCAACCCATGCCAAGCAATACCAAGCAATGCCAAGCAATCCCACGCAATGCCAAGCAACGCCAAGCAACGCCAAGCAATGCCAAGCAGTGCCAAGCAATGCAAAGAAATGCCACGAAATTTCATGCAGTGCCAAGCATTGCCAAGCAATGCCAAGTGATGCCAAGCAATGCCAATCAATGTCAAACAATGCCAACCCATGCCAAGACGTGCCAGGCAATGCCAAGCAATGCCAAGCAATGCCGCGCACTTCCAAGCAATGCCAAGTAATGCCAAGCAATGCCACGCAGTGCCAACCCATGCCAAGCAATACCAAGCATCGCCAAGCAAAACCAACCCATGCCAAGCAACGCCAAGCAGTGCCAAGCAATGCCAAGCAAACCCAATTGATGGCCAGCAGTGCCAAGCAATGCCAAGCAGTGCCAAGCAATACCAAGCAATGTCAAGGAATGCCAAACAATGCCCAAAATGCCAAGCGATGTCAAGCAATGCCAAGCAATGCCAAACATTGCCAAGAAATGCCAACCCGTGCCAAACCATGCCAACAAATGCCAAGCAACGCCAAGCAATGCCAAGCAATGCCACGCAATGCCAAGCAGTGCCAAGCACTGCCAAGCAATGCCAAGCATTGCCAAGCAATGCAAAGCAATACCAAGCAGTGCCAAGCAATGCCAAGCAATGTCAAGCAGTGCCGAGCAATGCCAAGCAATGCCAAGCAGTGCCAAACAATGTCAAACAATGTCAAGCAATGCCACGCAATGCCAAGCAGCGCCCAGAAATGCCAAGCAGTGCCAAGTAATGCCAAGCAATGCCAAGCAGCGCCAAGCAATGCCAAGCAGTGCCAAGCAATGCCAAGCAATGCTACGTAGTGCGAAGCAATGCCAAGCAATGCCAACCCGTGCAACCCAGTGATAAACAATGCCAAGCAGTGCCAAGCAATGCCACGCAGTGCCAAGCAATGCCGATCAACGCCAAGCAGTGCCAAGCAATGCCACGCAGTGCCAAGCAATGCCAAGCAGTGCCAAGCACTGCCAAGAAAAGCCAACCCATGCCAAGCAACGCCAAGCAGTGCCAAGCAATGCCAAGCAAACCCAAGCGATGCCAAGCAGTGCCGAGCAATGCCAAGCAGTGCCAGGCAATACCAAGCAATGCCAAGCAATGTCAAGCAATACCGACCAATGCCAAACAATGCCAGGCAATGCGAAGCAATGCCAAGCAATGCCCAGCAATGCCACGCAACGTCAAACAGTGCCAAGCAATGCCAAGCAATGTCAAGCGATGCCAAGCTGTGCCAAGCAATGCTTAGCAGTGCCAAGCAATGCCAAACAGTGCCAAGCAATGCGAAGCAGTGCCAAGCAATGCCAAGCGTCGCCAATCGCTGCGCCAGGCGAAGCGCCAAGCGATGCGCGCATGCAATAAGCTTTTGCCAAATTGGGGTCGCGCCGGGTTCTTCGTTTTTGCTGTGACATATACGAGGATTTGTCACGGTCGTTCGCAAGTGGGTTCCTTTCGTGGTGGGTGACATGATCATTACTCTGGGGACGGCCTTAGACACACACTCCTCTTCTGGCAGCCAAGCAGTGATGCCAGCGCATGGGATCCACATAGCTAGTTGTTGGAGCAACGAAGTCTGGGGGCCCCTAGGAGAGCAAGCGGCCGTAGGAGACCACTTCAGAGGTCGTAGGGGGCTGAACGGCCATCGGAGAAAGTGCAGACGCAGGGCCAGGGGGACGGAAGCGAGGAGAAAGAGGAGGAAGGAGTTAGGAGAGGTTCGCAGTAGAGAACGGACCGAGAGGGTCAGGAAAATGACAGGACGCAATCAAAGCCCGTCTTGAAGAAGACCCTCGTGAGTTGGTCAGGTCGGAGGTCCTGTTGTGTCCGCCAAAGGGTCTCCAAGTGATCATGGTGGAGGCTGTTGGGGTGCGAGTTGTTGTCTTAGAAGCCTCGACACCCGCCGGAAGTTAAGGGTGTCTGTATGAGACAACGCAGATACGAGATGTTGCGCATGACGGGCGCTCATGGTATGGCCTGTTCAGCCGTTCTGGGAGGCCTCCTGGGCTATTATTGGGTCGTCTTGGAGCCTGCTGCACTGGTTTTGGAGCGCTCTTAGGCTGCCAGGGGGTCCTCGAAGCCGTCTTGGAGATTTATTGGGGCCGCCTTTGCTGCACTCTTGGCCGTCTGGGGGCCATCCAGGGCCATCTAGAGCCTCTCAGGGAGCGCTCTTCCAAAATCTTAGGATCCTCACCGGCCGTCTTCGGCCGACTTTGGGACGTTGGGGCTTTGCTGGGCCTCTTTGTGTTTCTTGTCTCTTGGGCAGTCGTGGGAACGCATACCGATGATAGCCAGCGGCCATGAAAATCTGGCCCGGAAAGCCTGAACAGTTGAGTATGCGAAACCATTGGATAATATAGGAAGGGTTTCTGATAATTGCGCCTTACGGGTGCGTGTGTGGGATCCTCTTGGGGCCCTTGAGAAGGGAATTGTGGCCCTTGGGGGCCATCTGGAACGATTCTCCGTCATCCTGAGCCTTACTCGGTACTGTCCAGGGCCCTCTTTGAGACCCAGGGCGGCCAGAACAAAAGCAAAACCGACCTAGGGATGGGCATCTCTATCTTATCATGCAATGGCTGCGGGAGATATGTATATCTCCCCCAACACTCCTCTATCCTATAAAGTGCGATGTATGTCCGTCACCAGGGAATCAATGCACAGGGCCACTACAGCACTAATTACGATGCAAGCCATCACAAGAACGACACGTGTACAATCTGCCATAATAATAGGAAGCATAAGAGGAGCAGCGGCAGCAGACATGAAAGGAAGAGGTAAAGGACACGAGGCAGAAGTCGAGGAGGCAGTCGGAGGGGAAGGAAGAAGGGATGGATGGAGGCATACATAAGCACACATATACGCAAACATATACAGACATGCACATCTATGCCTCTGGCAACATACACATACATGTGTACATATGCATACACGCAGTTGAAATATACATGCTCAGGGAGATACAAGGGGAACAAGAGAGAGAAGAGAAAGGGAGAAAGCGAGAGCGAGAGAGATAGAGAGAGATAAACATAAATATATGTACCTATTGAGCGATATAAGCGTACAGACATAGAGAGGCACACACATACATACCTATACATACACAGGTGTAAAACCAAACAGACAAGCCAGTAAAGCCAATCGAGGCCATAAGACTACGTGCACACATCTCTAGACTATATGTAGAAAGAGATATCTATATATATATATATATATATATATAAAGAGAGAGAGGGAGAGAGAGAGAGAGAGACAAAAAGAGAGAGAGAGAGAGCGAGAGACAGACAGAGAGAGACCGAGACAGAGACAGAGCGAGTGATGCAGAGAGGACGAGGGCGGGGGCAGGAGGGTCATGGGGGAGGTGGAGCGCACGGACCCACTCAGGACGGCCGGGTGCGTCGGCGCCTGGCAGAAGAAGAGGGCAGCGGGCGCCGGGCTACTCTCCCAGGCTGAAGTCCAGCGCCTGCTTGCCAGCTCCGGTTCCCCTCTCCTTCATCGTCCTCCCCCCTCCTCGTCCTGCCTCATCTTCTCCTTCTCCTCCTCCCCCTCCTGCTCTACCTCCTCATCTCCTCCTCCTCCTCCTCCTCCTCCTCCTCCGTTCCCTTCCCTTATTAATTACTCCTCCCCATTGCACCCCGAGGCCGGTCGAAAGGGCGGGCCGAGCGTTTCGCCTGAGACTTCCTCAACACTCATGACCCTGAAGCTTGAAAACTGGCAACTGCTTCACAAAAGGAGGGCGGATCATTTACAAAATGTGGCTCTCGCCTTCGCGCATCGCACACTCTTTTTGAAAAAGAGCAGAAGTTTCACGGATTGAAGGCAGCTCGTTTTCAAAATGTGGCTCTCGCCTTAGCGCCGCGCACATTCGTTTTCAACATATGCAAGAGCTTCACGGATTGAGGGTGGCTCGTTTTCAAAATGCGGCTCTCGCATTAGCGCCGCGCATATTCGATTTAAACGTGTGCAATCGTTTTGCGGATTGAGAGCGGCTCGTTTTCAAAACGTGGCTTGCGCCTTAGCGCCGCGCACAGTCGCTGCAACTTAGAACTGCGAGGCATGGGAACGCTTCCAAGCACCTGCCTTGGGCGATGGGCGGTGGCAGCGCCGAAGAGATCAGAGGTGATGCTGTCATGTCAGAGGGCTGTGCTGTGCTGCTCTGCGCTCCTGCCGTGCCGCACAATGCCGTGCCAGGGACGCGCCGCGGAACGTGCCAGCGGAAGTGGCAGGAGACGCGCCAGGGAGACGCGCCGCGTTGAACTGTGCCGTGCGCTACAGTCAAAACGTTTATTTTAAGGACGGGTGGTAAGGACGCAAGGCCCTTGGAGGCCGAAGTTGGATTTTTGGGGCGGGGGGCGGCCAGTGAAAACGGAGAAGGACGGGCCGCAGAGGTAAGGACTCAAGGGTACCCTAGATGAAGGCACGCGTCCTTACTAGGCGCGTTGACTGTATTGCATTGTGGGTCAAGCCGTCCTTGACGTCAGAATCCTGACCGAACTGGCATGGATCTTGAGCTCGAGCTGTCTGAACGCACAGCTCGGGCCAGTTGCAGTCGAAACGCGCGGGGCGCTCGACCAGCTCCAACTCAAGATCCGATTCAAATCCGCAGCCCTCGTTCGAGACACTCTCACAATTTGCTCAGGCATAGGCCAAACGACCACATGTTGGATATCTCCCGGTGTAGCCTGCACGCGTGAAGACGTGGGTGGTTCCAGCTCGTGACAGCTAGGTTGGATACCACCCTGGGCGGCCTGGACACGTGCAAACACGTGGTTTGTTAGATACCCTCTAGGGTGGCCTGGTCACGTAGAAAACGTGATTCCAGCTCGGGGCCACCATGTTAAATATCCCCCTGGGTGGCCTGGACACGTGAAAACACATGGGTCCAGGTTTCGGGCGTTAGGCACCTACGTGTTGTCACGTCTGTCACGCCCTGAGGCGTTAGGAACCCACGTGTTTTCACGTTTGTCCCGCTCTCGGGCGTTAGGAGCCCTTGTGTGTTGCCCGTGCTGGGCAATTAGGAACCCATGTGTTTTCACGCTTGTCCAGCTCTCGGGCGTTAGGAACCTACGCGTTTTCACGTCTGTCCCACGCTGGGGCGTTAGGAACGCACGTGTTTTTACGTTTGTCCCGCGCTTGGCGTTAGGAATCCAAGTGTTTTTGCGCTTGTCCAACTCTGAGGCGTTAGGAACCATGTGCTTTCACGTTTGTCCTGCCCTGAGGCGTTAGGAACCCGTGTCTTCATGCTTGTCCTGCTCAGCGCTGGGGCGCTAAGAACCCACGTGTTTTCACGCTTGTCCCGCTCTCGGGCGTTAGGAACCCAAGCGTTTCCAGGCTTGACTGCCCACCTGGGTGGCCTGGACACGTAGAAGCACGTGGCTCCAGCGCAAGACCACCATGTGGGATGCCGCCCTGGTCGACCTGGACACGTAAAAACACGTGATCCCAGCTCGAGACCCTGTGTGGCCCAGACACGCTAAAACTCGTGACTCCAGCTCGGGACCACCATGTTAGAGACCCCCCTGGGTGACCTGGACACGTCAAAACAGATGGTTCCAGCCCACCCAGAAGGGATATCTAACATGCGATCGTCTAGGGCGCCAGCTAACCACAACCATGTTAGATACCCCCCTTGGCGACATGGGCAAGTGAACACAAGCATTTCGCCTGAGACGTGTTCTGAATTCTGGCCCCCTAAGAGGCCCCCGCTCGAGACATCCCCCCACTCTGCAAAAGCAGCGTTTCGCCTGCGGCATCCTTAACACATGTATAGAATACCAAAAAATCGCTGGGGACATCCTCACCTTTTTAATTCGCCGGCCCTACGCGACTTCGTTCTTCATCGCGGAATAAATTCACTGGCCCTACGCAAGTCGAGGCTGGGGGCCTAACCAACTAAAGACTAAAAGAGGGCCCTGGGCCCGAGCGCAATCTGGAAACACATTGTAAGACGTTGGCGGATTCCTATGGCCAACGTGCCAACGCTACGTCGATTCGCGGTGCTGAAGTCCCAGGGACCGCGTCCTGACAGGATTCAGGATCGTCAAGACGCAACAGGCATGCTGATCCGTGGCGCTGGAGTCCCCAGAATGGCGTTTTGGCGCGCTTCCGGGTCTTCAAACGCCTCTCGCTCAGCAAAGCAATTCCCTCAGTGGAAATTTACCCTTCCAGGGGCATATGAAGAGGGAGCTTGGAGAGAGGGTTTATTCCAACATCGTTGATGAATATTGGGTTTTCACTGGTCCTCCTCCTCTTCCTCCTCCTCCTCCTCCTCCTCCTCCTCATATCATCATCAACGCCATCATCGTTGTCATCATCATCACCATTGTCATCATCGTCATGATCATCGTCAGCATCACCGGCATCGGCATTGTCATCGTCTTCATCATCACCATCACCACCACAATCAGAATCATCATCAACACTCCCACCGAAATCATAAAAACGATCATCGTCACGTCATCAGATCATCACCATCAACATCACCATCATATTCATCATCATCCTCATCATCATTATCATCATCGTCATCGTCAACATCACCATCGACATCGTCATCGTCGTCATCATCATCATCATCAGAAGCATCAGCATCAACATCATCATCAGCATCATCATGGTCGTCATCCTGAGCCTCACCATCATCATCGCCATCGTCATCATCCTGGTCATCGTCATCGCCATTGCCATCGCCACTGTTCATTTCGTCTTCGACATCATTGTCATCACGTCATCACATTCGCCATCGTCATCATGATCGTCATTCTCATCCTCATCATCGCCATCGCCATCATAACAATCATCACCATCGTCATCGTCATCGTCATCGTCATCACACCATTATCATCCTTACCATTGTAATCATCATCATCAGCATCATCATCGTCATCATCGTGATTGCCATCGTCGTCACCATCATCATGACCATTACCATCATCAGCATCGGCATCAGCATCCTCATCACCTATCTTCATAAACATCAACGACACCATTAACGGCAACATCACATCGTCATCATCACCAGCATCATCATAAGCATCATAATGCCCAGCATCAGCACCACCATTAACATCATGATCATTACCGTCCGCATCAACATCATCATTATGTTTATCACCTTTACTACCATCAGAGCCATCATCATAGTTAGTATCGTCATCATCATAATCGTCGTCGTCGTCATAGATATCATCATCGACGTCGTCATCATCATCCCCCTCCTCCCTGCCCATCCCCCCTCCTCCTCTTCGTTCCCCCCCCATCTCCACTCAGTCACAGTCCCCTCTGCCCTTCCACCCTGTCACTCATATGCTGGCCCGCCTCCCAACCTCAGAAACCCGACGGTATCGTCTGTGCGCGGTCGTGATCCTCTTGCTGGCCTCCCAGCCCACCCCTCAAAGCCAAGAAACGGCATCCGTCACGCATGGCCTGTCACGCTGGAGGTCCCGGATCCTCCTCCTCTCCTCCTCGCCCCCATGCCTCCTCCTTCCTCCTTCTCGGCAGGCAGCAAGCAGGCAGGCAGCAAGCCCGCAGGCAGCAGGGGGAGGAAGTCGGAGGTTCGGAGGCAGAGAAGGAAGAAAGCTCTTGAATTGAGTTTATCTGAGTAAACAGAAGAATCAGTGAAGGAAGTGAGTTTTAACACCTTCTCCCTTCCCCTCCCCCTCCTTCCTCCTCCTCCGTGGCCATTTTGGTTCGAGATGCCCTTCCCGTGCGGGCAAGACGGAGCTGCCGCCGGTTCGCGGCAGCAGCTCGCTTGCCCGCCCCACGAGGGTCGGCCTGTGAGCTCCTGGGGGAGCGGACGCCACCGAACCTCCAAGATTGAGGAGGAGGAGGGAGGATGAGGAGGACGAGGAGGGAGGATGAGGAGGAGGAGGAGGAGGAGGAGGAGGAGGAGGAGGAGGAGGAGGAGGAGGAGGAGGAGGAGGAGGAGGAGGAGGGAGGAGGAGGAGGAGGAGGAGGAGGAGGGAGGAGGGAGGAGGGAGGAGAAGGGAGGAGAAGGGAGGAGAAAGGAGGAGGAGGAGGAGGAGGAGCAGTTCTGCTCGCGAGCGCAACACGGCGGGGAAGTGGCCGATGCGGGGTTGCGGTGCTGGGACTGACGCCAAACCCGACTGAAGCTGCCGCAAGGGCTGCAAGAACAACCAATGTCAACGCTGGTGGGGCCCTGGCTCGGCATACAGCTGCAAGGATAGCCTTGGAAGGCTGCTCATCCTTACCATGCGACTGGACTGCACGTCCGGGAGGAAGACGGGCCCTCAGGATCCCATCCCCGAAGCCGCCAGAACCTCTCCAAATGCTCAAAATCGCCCTCGACCGCTGACCGGGGGAAACCCAGAGAATACCGGTACCGCTGCGGATCCAGCCGTGGCAACTAGGGACGGGCAACGGCATCGGCTCGGTAAAGTGTACGTAGCACGCGCGTGCGAGCAATCCAGCGGTCAGAAATCTTGGGGCACGTCCTTCGTCGATCCCTGAGGGCCACGAGGAGCTCCACATCTTCTGCAGATCCCCCGAGCTTCTCCGCGGGCATGACATGTCCGCGGGCAGCTGCAGGCAGGAGGGCTCCGTCTTTGCTGCGCCTCCTGCACATGTGTTCCTCCTCCGACGTCCCTCGAAGACCGCCGACGACCTCCGAAGGTGGGGATCCCCCTGACTCTGGATCCGCTGCGCCTTGTTCGATTAATCCGCGTTCCTTTGCATGCACTTCGCTTTCGGCACCGCCTGATCCCGGGGCTTTGACCTCTCTCGGCCTTGACGTGAGGCCCCGCCTCCTTTTTCCCTTCCGCTGTTAATTAAAGCTGTGCGCGGCCCGCTTAGCTTCGACCGGAAGAGGCTCGCTCTCGACCCGCGGATCAAAAAAGTTCGATTCATCCTGTTTACAATCGTGTCGGAAATGCACCCAAGCGATGCGAACAGAGCACGGCCGCAGCTTCCGCATCGGCGCAGCAGGGCGGAGGGCACCGCAGACGCATGGCGGAGACAGCCACCGCGAAGCAGGGCGGACCACCTCTGCATCGGAGGCGCCCGCAAAACACGTCGGGCGGGACTCTTCGCCCTAATGTACCGTACTTTCGGGAGCGGCCAATAGGGGGGTGTCCAAGAGGGGGGGTGCAAATCATGACCGGCGGCATGTGCGCGGCCCAGCGGGGGGGGGCCAGGAACGTAATGAAATAAGAAGAGGCGCCATGAAACCTCGGGAAATATCATGGCCCCCGCCATGATATCCCCCCCCCCTTAGTCATCACCCCCCTCTTTTCCGCCCCCGATACTTACGAGCTCGCCCAGCGCATGGCGGATCCCGAGTCAGGGTGAAGACTTCCGCCCACCTCACGAGATCGCCGCAAGCACGGGCGGATCCAGAGTCAAGGCCAGGCGGTGACCCCCCCCGGCATATGGCATGGAGGCCCTCGCTGACCGGCGCCTGCTTCCCCGGGCTGAAGTCCTCCCCCTGGAAGCTCGAGAAGGCGTCGTCCAGGGCCGCCTCTGCAGGGCCCAAAGGTGTACACCACCACCACCTCCCTCATCCCCTCCCCTCTCCCAGGAGAGAGCAGAGGAAGACGAGGGTGGAGGATGCGCATCTTTTAACCGATCCACATGCCCACCAGCGTGGGCTGGGCCCTACTGGCCGATGTGCCCCCCTGACGGGGATATAGGCTGCTCTCTTCGGGTTTCGAGGGACACATCCCTAACTGAGGTGGTGAGACGGTGGGGCTCGAGATGTGGATGGAGATGGGGATAGGGATCGGTTTAACGATACCGAGAGGAGGGAGGAAGAATCGACGTGGTGGTGGTGGTGGTGTATACTCTTGGGGCCCGCAGCCTCGCCCTCCCTGCCGAAGAAGCCGCCGCCGCCCGGCTCGTCCGGTGGCGCGGCCCGCTGCCGCTTGGCGCCGCCGTCGGCGCTGGCGCCGCCCTTGCCGCGCAGTCTCAGGCGGCCGCCGCGCGAGGCTGCGGCTCCTGCGGCTCCTGCGGCGGTGTGCTCGGGTGGCCTCGTACAGTCGGGGCGTTGTTTGCCGACACAGCCATGAAGGAACTACAATTCGAGGGAGATGGAGGGGGAAAAAGAGAGAGAGAGAGAGAGAGAGAAGGAGAAAGAAAGAGGCATGCAGGCCGGAGCCCCTGAGAGCGCCGTTGGCTGCTCAGGGCCCTAGGCGGCCTGCGTCCCCAGCATACTGCAGTAGACGCTGCAGCTCATCTGCGAAGGCAGCCGACTCAAAACTAAGAGGCCCCGCTACCTTCCGACAGTCGGGACGTTGACCTAAGGAGCCCCAATTAGAAGGAACGAAGCCCCTTTCTCCCACCAGTGACGCTCCGATCTTCCCATCGAAAACCCAAGGGAAACCGAAGGCAAACTGTGAAACGATTGTGGAACGCGGAGCCCCTCCCCAACGGAAAGGGTTCTCGTATTCAGCGCCCCGACTGCGGGCTTTCTTTGGGGGCCTCCTCGCCTCTGGGTGCCTCCCAACAGCTGCGCCTCGGCGAGAGCGGTCCGGGGGCGCCCGAGCAGTGATCCCGACCGGCCGCCGAAGGCCCTGGCCAGGGCCCAACATGATCGACCCACGAACCCGGAAAGGAATATAGAAATGTAAGGCATTGCAACATTTCAAAGACACCTGATTGGGCGACGGGCACATGCAATGCTGAATGTATCGATGATGATGTACTGTGCCGAGGGCTGTGCTGTGCTACGCCGTGCTGAACTGCGATGTGCCATGCCGCGATTGTGCTCTATATTGCGTTGTGGATCGAGTCCTCCCTGGCATCCGAATCCTCACCGAACTGATCTGGAGCGTAAGCTCCAGCTGCCTGAACAGATGGTAGCTGCCCCAGAACTAATCGACAGAGGGAACATGCCAGGAGGACGCGCCGCGGAACGTCCCAAGGGACGCGCCAGGCGACGTGCCAGGGGACGTGCCATGGGGACGCACCGCGGGACGTGCCAAGGGGACGCGCTACGGAACGTGCCAATGGACGTGCCGAGGGACGTGCCAGGGGACGCGCCGCGCGACGTGCCAGGTGGACTCGCCACGGAACGCGCCAAGGTGCATAGTTGAGTGTATCGATCTTGATGTACCGTGCCGACGGCTGTGCTGTGCTGGGCCGTGCTGAACTGCGATGTGCCATGCCGCAATTGTGCTCCATATAGCCTTGTAAATCGAGTCCTCCCTGGCATCCGAGTCCTCACTGAACTGATCTGGATCGTAAGCTCGAGCTGCCTGAGCAGATGGTAGCTGCCCCAGAACTACACAGAGGGAACATGCCAGGAGGACGCGCCGCGGAACGTCCCAAGGGACGCGCCAGGCGACGTGCCAGGGGACGTGCCATGGGGACGCACCGCGGGACGTGCCAAGGGGACGCGCTACGAAACGTGCCAATGGACGTGCACCGCGCGACGTGCCAGGGGGACTCGCCACGGGACGCTCCGCGGAACGTGCCAGGCAACATGCCAGGCTGCAATGCTAAGGGTATCGATATTGATGTACCGTGCCGAGGGCTGTGATGTGCCTGGGCGACCTGGACACGTGAAAACACGCGTTTCGCTCAAGACGTTGTCAGCACATCCTCATGCTAGACATCCGCCTGGGCAACCTGGACACGTGCAAACAAGCGTCTCGCTCGAGACATCCTCAACAAATGCTCATGCTAGACATCCGCCTGGGCGACCTGGACACGTGAAAACAAGCCTCTGGTTCGAGACATCCTCAACAAATCCTCATGCTAGACATCTGTCTGGGCCACCTGGAGGCGTGAAACCAAGCGTCTCGCTCGAGACATCCTCAAGACCTGGGCACGTGAAAACAAGCAATCCACTTGAGAGATCCTCAGAAATCATGTCCCCAGGAAAAAACAATCTATAACACAAAACAAGGGTTTCGCTCGAGACATCCTCAACAAATTCTGAAAAACAAGCGTTTCGCTCGAGACATCCTCAACAAATTCTGAAAAACAAGCGTTTCGCTCGAGACATCCTCAATTTTTAATTCGCCGGCCCTACGCGACCTCGTTATTTATCGCAGAAGAAATTCGCCGGCCCTACAGCCGTCGAAACCGGGGGGAAACCAACTAAAAGAAAACCCTGGGCCTATGCCCTTTCCGGGAAAAAATCCTGGCGTTCCCGCGGCGGCGAAGAGGCCACGACGAGCGGGTCTGGGCGTTCTCGGCCTCCCGGGGGCACCCAGCAGGAGATCCAGGCCTCGGGGAAGCCAAGCTGAGACGACATCGCGACGCAGGATGCCTGGGCACGTGCACATCCAGCACCTCCCTCCTCCTCCTCCTCCTCCTCCTCCCTCCTCCTCCTCCTCCTCCTCCTCCTCCTCCTCCTCCTCCTCCTCCTCCTCCTCCTCCTCCTCCTCCTCCTCCTCCTCCTCCTCCTCCTCCTCCTCCTCCCTCCTCCTCCTCCTCCTCTCCTCCTCCTCCTCCTCCTCCTCCTCCTCTCCCTCCTCCTCCTCCTCCTCCTCCTCCTCCTCCTCCTCCTCCTCCTCCTCCTCCTCCTCCTCCTCCTCCTCCTCCTCCTCCTCTTACCATTATTATCATTATTATCCTTATTATTATTATTATCATTATTTTTACAACTATTATTATTATTATTATTATTATTATTATTATTAGTATTCTTATTATTATTATTATTATTAATATTATTATTATCCTTCGTCTTATTATTATTCGTATGAATTCCTACCTAGGCTCTGCCTAGAAGGGTTCTTACCCTGTGAGCTTAAGGGGCCGGGCAGTGGTCCCCGCCCTGGGCGGTTCCCCCAGGATCCGCCCCGCGGTTCCCCCAGTGACGTTCCCTTAGCTTAGCGTTGCTTATCTCATCTTAGCTCAGCTTATGTCATCCTAACTTAGCTTAGCTTCATCTTAGCTCAGGTTTATATTAGCTTAGTTTATTTTCATCTTAGCTTCGCCGAGCTTTAGCATAGCAGAGCACAGCATATCATAGCAGAGCGTAGCACAGCATAGCGCAGCACAACATATCATAGCCAAGCCCAGCATAGCATAGCATAGCATAGCATAGCGCAGCATAGCATAACATAGCATAGCATAGCGCAGCACAGCACAGCGCAGCATAGCACCGCGCAGCATAGCATAACATAGCATAGCATAGCAGAGCAGAGCATAGCACAACAGCAAAGCAAAGGCAAAGCAGCAGCAGCGACAGCAAAGCAAAGCACAAGCAACGCAAAGCAAATCAAATCAATGTTGCTTTCCTAGAGGCTCCAACTCGTAGGTACGGTACATCGACAAAATGGTGCACCACCTGGCGCTGGAAATAAATCGCATCGCTGTCGTATCAATCGTGTGTCCCCCCCCCCTCCCCCCCGATCTTAATATTGGGTTCGGACCCGGGCTGGTCGAAACAGCTCGGTGGTGCAACATTTTGTCGGGAGCCCCCGGGCGGAACAGGGGCTCTTCGCCATGCACCCAATATTAAGATCGGGGGGAAAGGGGGGGGCAAGAGCAGTGCAGTACAGGTGCCAATGCCCAGCACACGTGGTGCAACATTTTGTCGATGTACAGTAGGGTCGCATTGGGATACTTATTATTATTCTTCTTCTTAACATCATTATTATTGTTATCATTCCTGCTATTATTATTATTCGTATTATTGACGTTATCATTTGTATTACTACTATTTCACTTCCTCTTCCTCTCCTCCTCCTCCTCCTCCTCCTCCTCCTCCTCCTCCTCCTCCTCCTCCTCCTCCTCCCTCTCTCCAGTCTCGGCTCGAGGGTCCCCGACCTAGAGCGTCGCAAGGACACGCAACGCCCAGCAATTCTATTGTACGCGTTGCGAGACTGGACACACGCTACACCTCCGTGCCACATTCACCTTCTACATACGCGCGCGCGCCATGGCTCCAAAGAGCACTCGCCGCGCACGTTCAGTTCTAGCGCAGCCCAAGCCACAGCCACAAGGTCGCCAAAAGGTCGCCTCACTGGACAGTAACCTTGCCCGCAAGGAGACCTGCGTCACCGCACTGCCAACCAGTGGTGGCGTCGATCGGGCAGTGGCCGCCTACAACGAGCTTGCCAGCAAGCACATACCTGATATCACTGATATCAAAGCTGTCTACCAGCAGCACCACTCCCAGCAGATGTGACTGAGGGGAGAACTGACCAGCTCCGGGCCAGCAGACGTGCCCTCCCAGGATACCACAGGCCCGCGCCGAACTGGCACCGTGCCACCCGACGCCCCCAGGCTCTCGGCCAGCGCCCCCCTCACCTACGGTGCGCCCCCGACCACGGGGAAGGGCTCCTGCGCTGCGGGATCCACGCTCAGGCGTGACCGTGCACACACGTCATCCACCACAGAACGGACGACGGTCACTATGGCCACCATGACCTCCGGGCCAGCTGCCTTCAGGTTCGGAGTAGTCACGAAGGCACTATGGGGTCCCAACGGCACCTGTTTCTTGGCAGTCGTTTAACCTCTGTTTGAAGGCCCCAAAGGGGGTTTAAGGGACCCCCACGGGACCTCCAAATGACCCCCACAGGACCTGAAAGTGACCCCCACGGGACTTTTAAACTACCCCGACGGGACCTTGAAATGATCCCCACGGCATTGCAAAAAGGACCCCCACGGGACCTCCAAATTATCCGCACCTGACCATAAACTGACCCTTACAGTCGGAGCGCATGCGAGAGGACACGCGACAGGACACGGGACTCTTCCGACAGCACCATGGCCTCCAGCAGCAGCCGCAGGACACAGGGGTACCCTGCTGAGGCCGCGACCGCGGTCGCCCGCAGCCGACCCGCAGCCTCGCGAAGGGGGTCGCACGCCAGACAGGACACCGAGGGTATCCGACGGGCCGCGCCACCCACCGCGTGGCACAAGTACAGCGTGGCGCCCAGCAGGCGCACCCTCCCCCACTGGGGGGCGAGCGCGCGACCCGTCGCCATGGCGCAGGACCGAAGAAGAAGGGCGCGGGCGCGGACGTCGCCAACGAGAGGACGCGCAGACCCACCCACCCCT